TTTTTTTTCCTTTCCTTTTTTGGGGGGGGATAGGCAATATTAATAAGGGGAATACCACGGTGTTGTTCGCCCTCGGCTCCTGGAAAAGAGAGAGAGAAAAGGAGGGTGAGTTTTTTTTGTTTTTCCCAGTGCCCAAGAAAGACAGCAGTTTTTGGAGGCTTGTGTGTAGTGGAGCAGGGTCGTGGGGGTGTGGGGAAGTTACTGCAATTTAGCCAATGTTTTTAAGAAGGGTATACATTTACCCTAATTATACCAATGGTATATACCAAGTAAACAATTTCAGCCAACACTAAAGTTTGAATTGACCAAATTAGAAACCAAAACTTCAATTCAATCATTTATGATAGTTATTCAAAAATGTGTTGAAAGTTGTGCTTTTAGTTGATAGTTCATCTGTGTATATGTATGGGAGAGTGAAGACACCCTCTCTCTCCCTCTTTCTCTCTCTCTCTCTCTCTCTGTGCAAACGCCCCTCCTGGAATCGCTGTTGGAAGAAACCTTATGGATGGAGGTCCCTCATCATCATAGCCTTCCTTCAAGCCCAGGCATGCATCCCCATACGCACACGCGCAGGATTCACACTGCAGATTCCTCGCAATGGCTTAAGACGGATTGTCACTACTGTTACAGAGATGGCTACAAATTTCAAGAGAATATCAGGCTGCAGGAATGAACCCCCTATGTTGGAAGTGATGTGAACAAGCAGGCACGAGCGAGCAAACGGGTGGGGGGTGGAGGGGGACCATGACAAGGTGTCCAACAATAGCTAACATCTGAAACCTGAGGGGCTGTGGCTGCAACTCTCAGCACAAATCGAAGTGCCTTAAACCAGTGTTTCTCAACCCGGTCCACGTTTCTTGCTCCCTCCCAGCTTCCTACTGGAGAGTGCAACGTGGTCAGCACACGTTTGCCTAACAACATATATATATGGCAAGGCAATGCAAGGCATGCATGCCGCTCTCAAAATAGTTTGCTGCCAAGATTAGCTGCTTTTTGCTACTAAACAATTGATTAGCTTACAGCTTAAAGTACTGAAAACTCAGGGCGCAGAGGAAAACCAGCCCAGGTAAGAGCCTAATTAAAACATTTTGGTAAATCTTGGACAGCAGGGAGCTCACTAAACAGCAACGCACCGCATTTGGACTCCTCTGCGGATTCTACAGTAACGCAGGGTAGCCTGTGATTTATCTGTGAATGAGCTGACAGCCTTTCCAGGTTCCAGTCCCTCAGCTATCAGCATCCCACTCGCTGCCTGCTCACCTGAAGGCCCGGCCTCTGCCTCGGGGTGCTGTGTAACCACTGTAGTACCGCGACCGGGACGACGAGAAGCTGCCGCCCCGTGAGCGGAAGCGGGCCCTTGGGAAACCACGGTCTGTGGTACTGATTCCTGGCCTGTTGGTTCTCTTGGCTCCCACCTGAGGGGAGGAGAGATTGTCAGTGGCTACAGTTCGTTCGTGGGAGTTTTACTCACACAGTAATGTTCTGAGGGCAGAAGGAAAAATGGTTCAAAGACATAACCAATCAGACTGTAGAGGAGGTGGATCCAAGCAATTAGAGGAGACAAGACCAAGACATCTGATTGGTCGGTCCCACCTCACCTCGTTGGTCGGACCCACGTGCTCCACAATCTGATTGGTTTTCTCTTTCAACCAATCAGGTTTCCTTCTGCCCTCAGAATATTTTTGTGCAAGTAAACGCCCATGAGCCTACAGTTCTCCTCGCTGGCCAGCTTGACTCTGGAGCTGGCAAACCAGGTCAACGCAACATACAGGTTGGTCTGCTCGACATCACATTCCTTTACACATCAAATCGCATGAATCACATGAATCCAAATGGTTAGCGGTGCAGCGGGTTTTGCCCAGCAGCAGCCTTGAGGCCAGACCAGCAAGCCCTTCCCCACTCCCACCTTAATCTGCCTGCCTCTGAACAAAGACTCATCGAGAGCCATGGCCGTCCGCACAGACTCCTTGTCTGCAAATTCGATATATGCAAACCTAGAAAGAAGAATAATTTTGTCAGTGCCTCATGACAAAACCTTAAACAGATTATATTAATGCAAATATTTTCATGACCAAGTAGTGGGCAGAAAACCATACAAAAATATTTTGAAATTATTTACACACAGTGGATTGTTGCCCACATAAGCGGCAGAGTGACACAGATATTGATATAAACAGACAAGCTGCCATTGTTTAAATGTCAGTTTAACAGATGATGCAAGTAAAAATTAAAACATGTAGGGGAAGCTAAACATAGAAGTTTCCCCCTATTCATTATAATGTTGAAAACCAGAGCTGCCTAATAACACACATTAATAATAGTCAATGGGTGGACAGACGGACAGAGACAAGAATTTAAAATGAGTTATTCATCGTACATAATATGTGCAATAAAGAAATTTAGCACAATAAAGCATGCATAATATAGTAAGAACATCTCTCTGCATTGTATATTACGGTGCTCCTAGAATTGCTGAGCTAGAGCAAAAGGGAGGGTTAGCTACCCCTTCGGATGCCCAGTGAACTTGTCACACAAGATGGTGACTCTGTTGACAGAACCACAGCCGTGGAAATGAGCTTCCAGCTCTTCCGCAGTAGCGCCATAATCCACCTGTGAAAGAAAATTCACCAGCGATTCAAAGACAGCCAAATGAAGATTAATCCAATATGCCACCAAACCCTATAACATCTACTTACCAAACCTTCTAACCAAACGAACAAGGTGGCACACATGCACGAGCTTGGACACTCTGCACACTGAATGACACCGCCTCAACACACTGAATGACACCGCCTCAACACACTGAATGACACCGCCTCAACACACTGAATGACACCGCCTCAACACACTGAATGACACCACCTCAACACAGAACGCTGGGTGCCAACCCTCCTTTCACATACAATCCTGATGGCCAGGCACTTACATTTCCAACATAAATTGACCTCCCATCTGCCTCCATCTTCTCCTCTAAGGACATAATAACAGGGCCTGCTGAGGAAAATGGAAAGAGTGTTAATGGAGAAAAAAAAATGCTCAGCAGAATCACAGTCATACCAAAAGTCAACCCCATGATGCTTCTTCGCCAGCCCTTCAGTAGTAATAACTATGAAACAAAGGTCCACATCATGTCTGACATTTAAGATCAAATCTAATGTTAAACTCCAGCAGCTATATTACCAAGCTCTGTCACAACACTGTAGAGTGCCATTATAAGCCATTACTATAAATTAACAGAGGGAGCACCTCTTCACTTGCAGTTTAACTTGGACATAGTAAGATGAGAAATATGTTTGCCAGTTAGAGGGTTAGGCTAGTCTAAATAAGTGGTACACTGATTATGGCGAGACCTAAGAACTAAAATTACATGGTGCTGCAAGCACAACAAATAACCAATCGAGGCACATCCTCATTCATCCGAATCAAACCTTTGAGGCAAGTTCCTACAGTAGTAGTTTGACCTATTCCCCAATTGGGTCTTAGAAACTTGCTCCCCATTTCTTACCAGGTGGAGGACTCAAGTTCATCTGCTTCTCCACCTCATTCTGTAGCTCCTTCAGCTTCTCTGCTTCCTCCTCCATCTCTCGGACGCGAGCTTTTATTGCCTCCAGCTCCTGAATAGAGAATCATTTTTAAAAAATTAGTTCACACATCCCAAAATGGCAATACCCTCCCATTAGACGTGAATGCAAAACTTAACTCGAAGTGACGACTGGTAATTAATTTTTTTTTCTTTTTTTAAATCATGCCTCATGTTGCACAGGATGCATGTACCAAAGCCCAGACAAACAAAGGTCCTTGAATTCCTTAATCTCTTTACACCATTTAATGAGAGAAAACTGCTGGTTAAAGGCATTTTATTAATCCACCAAATCACACAGTGCTAAACCTGGGGCTACTGGTCGGAGTATTTACTGTCAATGTCATTGTAGATGCGTTTCATATCAAAAGAACAGTCCTGCTCACCACTGGGGAATACAGCAGTAAAATGCAGCAGCAGAATACAGCAACTAAAGCTAGGGGTTTTTAAAATATCTTCACCAGTCAATGAAAAATTAGGTATCCACCTGATGTGCTCAGCCCACATTGAAGGATACATCTGCAGTGCGACCTGGATGTGTGAAACCGCCGCCCGCGTGACAGAAACAATCCTGAACCAACAAGAGTGATGTCGATGCTCAGATTTAAAAAAAAACGCTGCACTGCAGGGCAGCAGCAGCTGGACAAAGCAGCTTTCAACAAGCCCTGCTTCAGGATCACTAGTTTCATACCATTCGGGTCTCAGAAATTACACATCTCAACCCTTAAAGGTTGGGATGCAACCGACGGCTACTGCTAAAATTGATACACCGATACGCAAAGTCGGCACGTGTGCGTCTGACGCAGATGTGCCTTGCTTCATTCTCACCGAATTCAGTCAAATAATATCTTTAAGGGTGCCAGAAAGCATAAATAGCGTGTCTACTGCAGACGGTACATACGTGTGCACAGCATAAACAAAAGGAAAAAAGCATCATAGTTAACGCACACACTCGCCATGCAAGGAACATTTTAACGAGTAGCTGGATGGTCAGCCAACTATGAACACATAGGGTGCACAAAAGCCACACTAACGACCAGTCACGGAAACCACATACATCTCGATTTTTTAAATTCTTACATAATTTAACCCTTTGCATGAGGAACAAAAGGAACAGGTTACTTTCTAATAAGTCCATTTAAAGCAATCACATCGCCAAGGATTGCGGAAATCGTCACACAATCGGCGGGTTTAAGTGAAAATAAAACATCATCCAGCCAGTTCCATCTCGAACCCAGCTACGTTTGACAGTGGAGCGACTGCAACGCATCATTAGCCTAAAATCAGCTATTAACATTTTCACTGCCGTAAATGCCCGGAAAAATACGAGCCGCGTTGCTTATGTTAAACCGGGAGCCTTCGACGTAAGAAATCATCTGCCGTAAAGGAGAAATATGTTTACCGTGAGTTTTAACGTTTTCTATGGTGGACAGACTCGCACTGCGGCGCCTACTAATGGCGGCCTGTCCTACCCTCGCCCTAGACTTGCATCTCCGTCTACTAACATTCATGCGACGAAGATAAAAAAAACACTACTGGGCACCTGGTGCAGGGAAGCTGGAGTCACGGCGGAGCCAAAATGGCCGCTAGCGACACGAACTGGCCATGCTTCTGCATCGTGTGCACCACAATGGCGATAATAGGCGAAAACGGAGACATGGTGGTGACCGCGAGGAATACAAGAATCCCATATTAAACGAATGAATACTGTGCAGATAGCTAAAAGAAATAATAACGGCGAAATATTATTTATTTCTTCATTTAAGGTTAACTGCCACTCACGGGGTCTTCGATGGCGGCCTCTCCTTCCTCCAGCCCTGGTTCATCGTCGCCCACACCCGGGTCTTCCAGCTCGGGGTGCCCAGAGTCCGAGTCCAGCAGCGACTCTTCTGCTAGTCCGTTACCAAACTCCGCCATCACGCGCTCACTCCGGTTCCAACTAGCCTCGTGGTTAAAGGCCGCTACTCACGCTGGGAGTAACGGGGGGCAACACGGCGGAAAGACGCTGCTTACTAAAGTTAAAATGAGGAGAAGAAGAGAGGAAAAAGCGACCCGCGTCGTCCTTTCTGTTTCTAGTCAGGGGAATAGTTGTCCTGATTTGACTCGCGTCCTCTGAACGCTAGCTTATTTACACTAATAAGAAGCTATGAAAAATATAAAACGGTAAATCTTCTCTCAGGCGCCGTGTCTCTCGTAACAGTAATGGACATAGAAGGGCGGTGCTTCTGTGTGGCGCTACTGCAGGAGTGAACTCTGAATGCTATTGGCTGGGGCGACCTCTCCGGCACGCCTTCCCCCGGATTTGCGCGAGCTCATAAGCTCTTATGCAAATCCATTGTACGTTGACGCCGAGAAGATTTGACCATTCGAAATTCTGATTTGGTTAATATTACGTCAATCGTTGAGGTAGCTCACTTGTCTCGTTAATATTATGCTGCTTACAACTAAGTCATTCGTTTTTATTGATAATGTTCTGGATTTTTTTTGGTTACATTTTTTGGCAACATTGACTTTTTCGTTATACTCCCTGTCATATGAATGTACATTTTTAGATCAGTATGTTATTATGTTTGCTATTTCTTCATTTTTTCCCCCAAAATACACGGATAACACAATGTCCTCTGATCTGGAAAAGAGCACATGAAATACGTGATTGGTTTATGTAATATATAAACTAGCTGCATTTAACAGAATTTTCAATACTACATTTTGATGGCATGAAATTACAGGACATTGCATGGAAGGTCACAATAAATAGTTTCATTATTACGTGGAAATTGGTAATCATGACCCGATTATATCGCCTTTTAATTATTCGACGTCTTAGGCAAATTGTTCACCACGTTTTATCGCTACTATTTTAAAGTGAACAACAAAAAATTACTGTGGTTACACACAATTACTAAATTCTATGTCCTGCCTTCTGAGAACAATGATGTGAATCAGCATTGTGCCGTCATTTTGTAAATTATTTTGTGTCCACCACCAAGTCAAAATAATCCGCCTTAGGGGTATGTACATTCTGCTTCTGCTCATACTGATGCTTGAGTGCGTGTATGTGGGTAAATAGTAACTTGTTCTCATATTCATGCTCCCCAAGATATCAAATACATTTTATTGCAGCATGTGGATCTACATTATGCAATACCCTTCTTGCGATTAAAAAATGTCCTTTAACAGGTTTCTCCACATGTAAGACCAAATACACTTTAAAATAATAAATTTTGTGAGATATAACAGCTTGACAGTACAGAAAACTGTGAAAAACAAAGTAGCATTTAAATAAACCGATATTGCTTGAAATTCCTTAATTCAGCAATTATGTGTGACATTACATCAACTGATTCACATAACAAGGGCATTTGTAGAATGCAGTTGTTTTAAAGCTGTTCATTAGACTATAGGCTTGCTGTATCAGCACACACATCAGCATGCAGAGTACTCTCCAGGCCCCCTGAAGTGGATGAGAGCTACAGAAGCATCCGACTCAGTATTTCCCAGTACTGCATCACAGGTTGCCAACCACATTTGTAAAGAAACAAACAAGAAAATTAGTACATAGATGATGTGCAAGTTAACACAAAGAGGAAAAAAAAAACAGCTGTGGGAAACAAGTCACTTAAATTCAAATTGATGAAAACATCAATACAATACTAGACATATATAAGAGGGTAAATAAAGCAGATTGAGGTTTTCTCCAAAAAAAAGTTCAACAGGTTTTATTTATACTTTTTCTCTGGAAAGCAAAGAAAACAGAATTGAAATCAAACACAAAATAAAGTTACAAGTGTGGACAAAAGAAGCTTAATCAATAAACTATTGATTCATATAATATTATCAACACTGTCACATTATTGTTGATATTCATACAAATGCCATTAAAATGGGTACAAAGCAATAATAATCATGGCAGTGATGATAACAATGATAATAGGAACTAGTACAGTTATGAGTGATAAAGTGAAATTGAAAATGGTTACACATGGGAAAAAAAAACCTTCATTACTTGTGTCTTCCTTAGACAGTACAACACGTTAAGATAAAAATTTGCTTAACATAGTCCTGGCTTTGTATACATGAGCTACCATCCTGATACACCATGAGAGACAAAAAAAAAGGTAACTGCACCACTAAAACAAATTCAATTAATTGAAATTAATTCGGTTACAACTTGCTAAACGCTCTGGAACACTGCGAGAACTCAATATTCAGTTATTTCATTTTGATGTCTTGGTAATGCACTCATCTGTAGCTCATGCATAAATCCTGGGCTATCTGGCACTGTCAAACAGTGCATGTTTCTTTACACTGAGGATTAAAACATGATCTCACCAGTCATCTCACCCTTTCCTTACCCTAAATATTGTTTTTTGGTTTTTTTTGTTTACTGACAAAAAGCAATTTAGAAACAACTTTGGAATAACACTTCTCTTAATATATTTAACCTTTATTTTAGGTTTGAGTTTAATAGTAACAACATTAATAACAATAATATACATCTTTAAAGCAAAAGAAAAAAGAATATCTTTAGTATTTCTTTGAATTACATCTGTCTACACCTCCCTTCACTGAACATCGATTAACCCTGGTATATGTCAGTACACTCCATTCCTGACCTGTACTATGATCACAGCCCAGTGCATCATCAGCTTTCCACAAATTAAAATTACAGAATAAAATGTCTACCCTTCACAGGTATATCATACAGAATTCATTGCAATGGACCTCAAGATATGATGGGCATCTATTATTTCCGTTAGCTTTTGCAGACTTTCGTTAGGAACTGTAGACAGGGTGGAGGGATATGAGGTTAAGAAGTACTGTGGTGTAGACTAACACAAAACAAACTCAATGACTGATTTAACATCAAGTGTTTCTGAATTATACATTATTACGTTAAAAAAAAAAAAAGCCTTCAGATTTGGATTCTGATCACTAGGTGGCCGATTTTTGTTTTTGAATAAGGTCAATACAAGTTATTAAAAGTAATTTCATTACTTAAAGTCCACTGATAATTATTTCTTAAAAAAAACCCTGGTCATCAGCATTTGTTTTGTAAATCTTTTGTCACAGATGATCTTAACATAAAAAACAACAACAACAGACTCCCACTGCACAGCACAAATGTCTAGTCTATGCTTTACGATCTGCAATGTAGGCCCTTGTACACAAAGTGCTAAAAGCAGGAACAACAGCAACTATTCAATAGATTTATTTTGACTCACAATCACAGAACATATATATTTATATCCAGCACCTATTGTGTCAAGTGTAGAGCTATATTTTATTTTGTATACAAAAATTGTTTATGTTTTGTAAAATGGATCAAGTGCTGTGTAATGAGAGTCTGACCCCCTGACTTTCATTTCCACTTCCCTTCTCTCTCCAGGATTGTCTTTTGGACAGAATGAGTGTGCAAAAGAGAAAGATTACAACATTTTGGTTATAGGCCCAGTTGTAGACCACCTACGTGGTCCTTTGAAAGCCCAGTTTGAGTCTTCACACGTTCTGTGTTCAGTGCCAAATGATGCCTGATGACTCATGAGCGTTCACATTGTACACTGCATAGCCTCTCTAACTAGGTAGGTTTCTTGTGTACAAAAGGTCAAATTCAACACAATCAAATCCACAAATTGCTCTAGCACCAGCAGGTCCAATCCATCAAAGTATTTGGTGAATCCAAAAACCAAAAATCTGGGTCTCCTTCTGTCCCACAGGAGCCAAATAACCAGCATTCTCTATTCAAAGATTGTCCTGAACCAGTTCACCAGGATTTAACCCAATACATATGTAGGCTGGGCAATGAAATCTCTTGCCATCCATGTCTGAGTAGCAGTGAAGGAGCTGGTTCGATTCGAGAACCTTTTCATGATGCTGAAGGGATTGTTAAGTGTGAAAAGCAGGAAAGGGGTTAAAATGAAGACAGATTATCGTGAACTAACTGCCTGCTGATTAAAAACACAAAAGATCAACCATCACATAACCAGGACAGAGAACCTGTTCCAGCATTTCAGTCTGTAGATTATTACTGTTAGTGAAGCAGTCTGTAGTTAGTCTATTAAAATGGGTCCTGTTTTGTACCAAAACTAGACAGCTCTGCAGATAAAGTCCACCTGATGTCCAATGAAAAATAAAAGGTATCAAGGGGGGTTAGGGCTTTGCTCAGAAATTCTAAGTTACTTAAAGACCAGGACCCAGAACCATTTGTGTCCATTAAAAGCAAAGGGCTCAATGGGCCCAGTTTCAGTGCCAGCATCATGTCTAGCTTGTGGTGCTGGCTGGATTTGGGGAAGACTGCACAGCCACTCCAGAAACCAAACTGGACCCAGTACCAGAACCCTTGTTTACGAGTGAAGGAGGCTGACCAAAGTTAGTGGATCTCAGTGTGGCTAGGTGCCGAGGGGAGAAGACGTGGGTTCTCCCTGCTGCCCTGGACTCAAACTCCACTGCGCATGCGTCACAGCGCCCCCTCAGTGTTTCACGACCTGCTGGCTGACCCAGGCCAGGGGGAGCCGATGGTTCCAACACTGTCAGTTGAACTGGTTTTGGAAGGATGGGACGGTTGGCTCGGAGTGCATTGTAGAGCAGGAAGCTGCCCGAGCTGGTGTCTACTTTCTTGGACGATTCTGTATTGGGAGACTGCAAGTGAATGAGAAAGAGAAAAATGGTTAAAAGAAGAAAAGGCTCATGTTTTTGACACTGACCCAAACAGACTGGAACACATACACAAGTCGTAAAAAACAAAAATATTGCAGCTTGCAGTGGTCTGGAATTGGCCTTGGGTCATAATATAACTCAATAATACGTTTCCAAGCAAACTGAAAACAACAAAACTAATAAATCATGCTGACTGATGCGCACCTTGCATATAGTCGGTCCTCTGGCAAAAAATACATGAAAATGCCATCACAAATATGGATTACATGAACCAAAAGTGAAAGAAGTTTAAGGTCTGAATATTCAAACAATTCTCCTCTCATCAGCATTCTGAGCTGAAGCAGTTAAGACAACTAAGCAATCAAAACAACATGTGAGAACTTCTAGAACACAATGTCCTTTGTTAAATAGAGTAACTATATATCAATTAATGTAAAAATCGGGGGAATCTCCAATTAAGCATGGAAAAATAATCCAGGGAGTATTTAAGTCCTGCTGCTCAAACACGGCACTCATATTCAAATCACACACAATCTGTCTCACCTGCTTCTGCAGCTGCAACCTCCAGCGCTTCTCCTTGGCACGGGTGTTCTGGAACCAGATCTGCACTACCTTCAGGGGCAGCCCCAGCTCTGTCCCCACAGTCTCGCACTCCAGCGCATTTGGATGAGGGCAAGTCTCATAACACGACTGCATTATTGACACCTGCAGGGATGTCAGGTGGGTCCGTGGCCGTCGAGGAGTAGAATGAAGCACGTAAGATCCTTCCCCAGGACTGGACTTGGCGGTGGTGCTTGCATTAGTGGGAGTGGAGGTGGCTGCAGTCGTCGTGACAGATGTGCGGCCCGATGACAATGGCAGTTGCTCTCTGGACAAGGCGTTGACCTTGAAGGGACTCTTTGAGGACCAGTCGTTCAAACCATTTTGCTTGTGAGATTCTGAAGGAGGCGGTTTGATGGCGAGTGCAGATGGTATTTTCGGTACCATGCGGTTGGAGGACCCAGGACCCATTTTCTCTTTTCTTTGATCATCTTCCTCCTCGTCAGTCTTTCCTTCTTCCCCTTCATCCTCTTTGCTTCGCTTGCGCTTTTGGGAAGAATTGGATGAAGGAGAAGAACGAGTCTTCATGACCACAATAGGGATGGCAGGGGCAGCAGCCACCGCTTTGCTAGCGGGTTTAGCCACAGCTACTTGATTCTGTGCCTCTGCCTTGGGTTTCGGCACCTTCGGCACAACCGGCTGAGGGACAGTAGGGGAAGCAACCGGCTCCTTTGGATTACTCTCTTCTTTCTCCTTCCCTTTCTCTTTCTCTGCCCGTGTGTTTTGTGGTGCAGTCACAGGACCAGCTCCAGTAGAAACTTTTGTAATTCCAGAACTACTGAGGCCGCTGATATTTGGGGTGGGGCTGCTAGAGAAAATGGGCAGGGTGAGGGGCCAGGTGAACTTAATGAGTGGTTTGCCCACTGCAGCCAAGGTGCCATCACTGATGAATCGAACTTCCCCTTTGCGTTCACGTGCTCTCATGTTCTGGAACCATATCTGGACCACTTTCTTTGGGAGATGGACCCACTCTGAAATGCGCTCAAACTCATGCTTCCCAGGGTTAGGGTCTTTAAAATAGCAGCCATAGAGAACATCTAACTGCTCCGTCTGAATGATGGTCCTAGATCGCCTCATGTCCCTGAACCGTCTACCCTTGGGATGTTTCTGCTGTTTCTCAATTTCTGTCTCTCTATCTTGTTGCTTCCCTCTTTCTTTCTCTATCATAGAGGCATTCACTCGCTCTGCTGCTCTAATATACACTGTGCTAGTCCTGGAATTATTGCTATTGACACTGCTGTTGGTGGTTGGAATAGCTACAGCTGAATCTGGTTTAACACGAACCACAATGAGCCCACCCGCTCCTGGTGCTGCGGGGGCCAGACCAAGGCCATCGAGTACGTGGTCTCTCTGGAGGTGCACCGCCTTGCTACCTGCAGAAGATGAGGAACAGGCGGTTGTGGAGCTGGGTTTCTTCCCAATGCTGAGATCCAGAGCAGATTCGCAGATGCCTCCGTTGGAAATGGAACGGGCTGGTGACATGTGGGAGGCCGGAGGAGGGGCTTTCAGTGAGTCGAGGAAAGGGGCAGAGCACCGGGTAATGGTAGGGGGATGTGTGAAGGTAGGGCCCCGTCCTCTCTCCCGATCTCCATCACCTTCGACTATCCCCAACCCGACTGCCGAGGGTGGGAGAGAGAGCACATATGGGTTGAGAAATTGGGTGGCAAAAGGTGTTAGAGAATGAGAAAGATGGAGAGCTTGCAGGTTGCTGCCACTGGCAATGCTGGCAAAGGTCTGCTGCTCAAGGGAGACAGACAGAGGTGGGGGATCAGCTTGAGCTTCTAGCTCCAAATCTACATCAGGATCTAGTCTGACAGCCTTAACCTCCATTTCCTCAGGCTCCCTCCTCCTCTTCCTCTTCTTTACTTTCTGGTTTGTACCATCCTCATCCTCTTCAGTGTCCTCTGCATCGGACAGGAACACTGTGGAAGACCGAAGTACTTTTCCTCCTCCTCTTGCTTCCTTCTCATCTCTCTGTGCTTCCTCTCTTGCCGGACTGCCTAATTCTTCCCTAACTGAGCTGTTTTGACTCTCCTCATCAGTCACAATGAAAGAGGTATAGAGTCCATCGTTGTCAGAGTCAGAAGTCAGGCAGGACTCTCCGGGGCTCTCCCTCCCTTGCTCCTTGCCTCTGCCTCTTCCACCACCGTGCGATAAATCTATAGCATGGCTACTTGTTGTTGGACTCTCACCTTCTTCTGTCTCAACTATAGTAAGAACCCCTTCTTCCTCGACCTCCTCCTCTTGATCTAGGGCCTTGTTTAGCTCTTCAAACTGTGCTTTGCCCAAGTTATTTTTTTGCCTGTCTCTGGTACGCCGGGCCTCTCTCAGCCACCTGCGCACAGCCTCTTCATCAAGGCCCACCTCCTTCCCCAAAGCTTCACAGTCTTCCCGTAGCGGACTGGCTGCGTCCGTCTCGCTACGCGACTCCAGAAACGCCCACAGCACCTGGGACTGAAACTCAGACAAGATCGGGGGCACTACTTTGGAGTTGGGACTTTTCAAATTTGAAATATGAGAAGCAGTTAATGGTTGAACTACATTTAATGGTATGTGACTACTACGTTTTAGGTCAGCGCTGATACAGTTTAAGAGCTTGTCCAAGTTAGGACTTGGGCTTTTATGAGGGCAACAGGGGTCTACGTTGTCATCATTACAAGGGGGGATTGTTGTGATATAAATTCCTGGGGAGTCGCTACTTTTTGTCTGATGCACAGCATCATGAAATGGTTCGGAGTCATTTTGTATTTCTTCAGTCTTATTAAATGCACCCTCTTTGATTTCTAACTGCTCTGTGATGTCACTTCCCACAGTTGTGTCTTTATCGGTGTGCTCTACATTAAAATCACCCTCCTCGTTTTGTTCACTTTTTGAGGTGCCATCAGGCTTTGAAAAACGCTTCCCCGTATTTTCCCCCTCATTCTCTACATTCTTTAGAGTAATCTTCTCCAACACCTCACTGTCCGCTTCAAATTTGGGATTCACTGAAGCTTTCTCTTCTTTCTCCTCAACTTTGCCTTTTCCATTCTCCCCTCCCTCTTCAGTGTCTTTATTAAGCTTTTCTTCTACATCTCTGGGCTCTTCTCGCTCATTCTGCCCTGTGCTGCCTTGCAGACAAGTAGAAAGTCCAGGTAACAACCCAGTACTCTGGTTCTGTATGGAGCCGAGTCTTTGGGCCAGGAGAGCTTGCTGTGCAGCACTGAGGCCCAACAGGGGGACTGACTGGGTCAACACTGCATTGGGAGCCTCAATGCTTGAACTCTGGTTTTGGGTCTGCAGTCCATTCAGGAATAGGGGCAGAAGCAGCTGTTGCTGGGCTATCAGTTCCAGCTGAGGGGTGGGCACACCGGGAGCCGCGCTAGGGCTGGCAGCAAAGAGAGAGGGAGCCACAGAGTGCGGACTGGAGGTGAGCAGAGTGAGGAAGGCTGAAACGGCCTGTGCCGAGGCCACAGGAGACGAGAGCAGAGAAAGGGCTGGAGCTGAAGGAGGGCAGGTCGAGGGCACAGTCTGGGGCTGACTTTGTTCTGTATCTTTGGTTGCCCCTGACGATGAATTCAGACTTCCCTGGATACCATTAGCGTCAGTGCTGGCACTTCCAGACTGCGAAGCATTAACCACAGACCCTGCAGCTGGGTTAGCAGTATTAGCTGTACTTGTCGTTGTGGTAATACTCCCAGAATGCACAGAAACTTTCTTATCAGAATTCCCAGAAATAGTGTTTACAGCATTTCTGCTGCGCGTCTGGTGCAGAACAGACTTCATGTGACTCTCTAAGGTGAAAGCGTGGTTGTAGGAAACGCGGCACACGGCACACTGGTAGGGTTTGCTAGAGATGAAGGGCCGGGGCAAAGTTGGCTGGGAGGCCACGGAGCTGCCCGAAGAGGAGGCGGCATCACTCTCTTCACCCTGTTTTACTGACCCCATTCTCATCCGCTGCAAGTGGGAGGTGGAGCTGTAATGCACCCCCAGGGCACTTTTAGACGGAAACGACTCCAAGCAGGCATTGCATTTATAGGGCCGGTTTGGGTCGAGAAACTTTTCCAGCACTGGGTCACTGGTAGCTTTGCTGGTGTTGGTGCTGTTTGCAGCATTACCCACATCAGGAGAGCTGTCCTTTTTCAGAGCACCCTTTCTGGTTTTCATTGATTCTGAGTGCGGGGATTTTTCTTGAACCGCTTCCACCTTGTTCCTTGCTCCCTCCTGCTCTCCCTCTTCCTCACTTTTAGCTTCCGTTTCTGGTTGGGGTGTGGCTTTGGCCCGGGTGCCCCTCAGCTGCCGTGTGCTCACAGCGCCTTGCTTGGGTCCAGCCGTGTTTGCGTCTGCGTCCAACTGCGCTCCATTGCTCTCAGAAGGCATGAGCTGCCTGGACAGAATATCTGCAAAGAAAGCAGCTTTTTTTTTTCATAAAGTTGAATGACAGTTGATCTTCAAACAAATCTCACCAGCAATTCACAACATGCCACTCTATATTACCTTAAGGAGCAGAAGTGTTTATTTGTCATTATGCATCCACCAAGACTGAAACTCATAGATTTCAACTTAAAGTTGTTTTTCAAAACAGAATTTTTTTCATAGAAAACTTTACAGCACATCATCACTATCGTTTTGTCCTGACATTTCTGACAGCTAGATGCATACATGGTTGCTTGTGGTATGTAACTATTAATGGAGTCAGCAACAAAAGACTATGAGTGATACAAGCTTGTCTACTGCCACAGTCAAACAAGATCAATTACCTGGAGAGCAGGTAGTATTGAACTGAGGCTATTTTCTTTGTCAAGCACTTAATGAAAAAAAATCACAGCTGCCCGATTATGCATTACTGCTCATATATACACAAACCACTAGTACACTTTACAGTAGAGCCCCCCACACCTTCCGGTTAACATTAACAGTATGCAGTCATATTGAGTGATGTGGCTGCCATGACGAGCTGCGAGATCTTACCAGTGTTGCTTTGACTGTCAGTTTCCTCTGATCCACTCAATTTTTGCACTGGTGTGGCCTGAATCAAGACACAATAGAGTAAGAGATCACATTAGACCTAAATGCAGGTCAAATTCAGGATGCATTTTTCTGAATACAGCACTATGATTCTACAATAAGAGAAGATAATGAATAATCCAAAATAAATGAAAAATGATATATTTCCTATGCAAAATTCTCAATTAGAAGACTGGCCATATATAAAAGCACTTATAATACAAATTATGTAGTAGTGTCCGCAAATATTATATGGTATTACTTAATCACCACACATTAAAAAACACAACGCTATTTTAGTTTATACAAAAACTCAATAAGGAACTTACAGTGTCAAGCAATCTGTCCAGACATGCAGGCAGGACACTGTGTTTATCTGTTAGGTGCTGAGCAAGAGAATCTCTGTCTGTCTGTCCCTGTTGACACAAGGGACATGGCCAGACCAACACGTTGCTCTGTCCTTGCACATTCTCTCCTGACTCCTCCTGAGAGACACATAAAACATGCCCATATGTGAACATATTAAAAAGAACATTCTCTGCGTTATCATGGGGCCCCAGTAAAGAATAATAATAAAGAAAATAGTTGTGTGGGTGTTCTGGTGTGGAGGAGGGGTTACAATACAAGGAAACAATATAGTCTAGTTCCCAGTGACCTTGATTGTGTGTATGCTGATCACTTTTTACAAGATTGAGTTGGCTAGTCTCCCCTGAATTGCACAATGCTTTTTAACGTTGCTGGTGAATCAATAAAAGAGTGGTCATTTAAATATTGGTATTCTAGCCACTAATATATATCCACTGCCTCCATATTCATTTTTGAAGAACATATTTGCAGTATGTACTGAAAGACTAAAATAAATATATATATATATAAAATGCAGTATGACACTTCATGAACACTAAGCGTAAAGCCATTTGTACATAAAACAAGCATAGTCACACTGTCTATGCCTCTGATTTCTGTCAGACTTATTGCAAAGAGAACTTATGAACCAAACAACAATGCCCTTCTGTGACGTTCACCCAAGATGACACTTTGAGGAATACATTTTATTTTGCCATTTTTACACATTGGTATTTGTATTAATTTATAAATCTGTCTTGACAACACCAATAACAATGCATGTGAAACGTTTTTGAAGGTCAAGCACCACTTATTTCACTTATGTGCAATCCTTTATCAATAGTGGCAAAATCAAGATTTACTGTAATTTTCCAAATGGTATTCAAGCACTGATGGACACAATTCCACACAGTGAGAAATCCTTGATTACTAGATTTACAGTATCAAACAACTTGCATTTCTAGTTGAACTGCTTTTGGAAAAGTGGGGGAAACTATTCTTTGTAAACTCTAGGAATATGATAATGATATTTTTTATTTGCACACATATGAACCCATACAAATGCTCTGGTTTTCAGATATTCCTTCTTGGTCTCCTGAGAGAGACAGACAGGGCGTAAATCATTGGCCCTAGGGCGATTCAATTACCATAATTTAGGGAACGATTCGATGCATCAGATATCCTTAATATGCACCATGATTCCATTAATCAATTATTCTGATTCAAACCTTTAACTTCACTGAACAAATATGACCAAAGAAACTCATATACTACTAATGGAATACAAATGCAGAATCATTTAATCTAGTAGAATTCTTCCTCAAACACACCAACTAATAAACTGAACAAGAAAAAAAAAACAAAGAAAGCGCTACCTGATAGTTACCCTAGGTTAAAGTAGCCTAACAGTGCACCACTGCGGAAGTTTTGACTGATACAATAACTGATGTCTAATATTGCCAATACCAATAAACTACAGACCTCAGTACACAAGAGTTTCCAGTGGAAAAACTTGCCTGGACAGATTTGTGGAATGACTTTTAAATTTGGTGGAAAACAAAATTATCGATTTGCAGGCCAGATTCATTAATGAATCAAACATATCAGGGGTTGGATCTTTGAGGCGTCTCATGGTGGAGAATGAGCCAATGAAACCCATCATCCTATACTATGGAAGATGCTGATAATCCAGTGCAATTGCTGCAATTATTTCAGTAGTTCTGATGCTGCTAACTTTGAATATTGATACAGTTTAAACATAGGCCAACACTGACACTTGGAACCACTGCCGATATTTTAATTTTTAATGAATATTGGCTGATACCAATATGTTAACCAACATATTGGTTGTTATCATTAAGGCTAACATTACTTTTTACTTTAGCTACCTCAGAGTCTTGACCATAGATACCATAAAGAGCAAAAAGAATTACTTGAGGGCTACAAGAGTGGGTTCCCCAAAAGCATCATAGCACAAAGATTCTCAACCATTCTACACTACAAAGCAGGACAGAGTTTCCACAAAAGCATCACAAGATCATCAAGTAGCGCTTCCTTTATAAATATTAATGAACCTTCCCACAGCCATTCTGTGTTTTGCGTGCTGGAACTGCTACTTTGGAAGCCTACCTGTAGCACAAGTGCAAGAGCACAACCCAAAAGTAGGAATATGAGGAATTACCAAACACCAATTACTGATTAATAGAATTGAATCACCGACCTTAACCGTTTCATCACAAAATTCTCTTTATACCACCACACACACAGAACACTCAGGATGTTATTCAGCTCCCCTGGAGCAGTTTCCAGGGTTAAGGGCCTCACTTAAGGGTCCAACATTCTGATCACAGCCACAGAGTACCAAGCTGTGGAGTCACACAATGCCCCTTGGGTATTAGAATAGAAGAGGTCAGAAGACAGTTCACAAGAGGCCTTTAGTTTTATAAATCCCTAACACAACAGGTGAAACTTCACCCATTCAAACAAGGCACTATTTGAAAGATAAAAAAGAAAAAAAAATTAAGATTAGCGTTTAGTTTGTGAAAAATTAGTGAAGGGGGCAGCTATGACATGGCTGGGAGTTTGATTCGCACCTCCGCTCTGTGCACAGCCCTCAATAATTTACCCCATGTCACAAAAAAAAAAAATCCCCCTACAGTTCAATAACACACAACTAGGCTAAATGGTATTGCTAAATTGCACACTGTATGCATGTCCCGTGATGGACTGGCATTCCATTGAGGGTGGAAGATTGTCTGGTGCCATATGCTGCCTGGAAGAGGGCAAGTGGTTAAAAGATGGACGAATATTAAGTTGTACTTTGACAATCTTATAGCTAAAGTTACAATGGATTACACAAATGTATACAACTGCAGCTTCAGAAGCCTGCATTTCATGGTCTCTAAAAACACACAAGTCATAACACGTATGAGGAGGCTCCTTCACCTCTTGGAGTGAGATCATAAGATCTAAACCAACCACCTTAAAGCAAATAACCTGATAAAACACCTGGCATCCAGCAAACACTTAATTGATCACAGAAGTAAAGCAGTTTTGTGGGAAAGCTAATTTCCCCCGCATTCAGATGCATACAAGGTTCACTTTTAAAATACTTGATTACTAAAACCCAGTATTCAAAAATATATCCGAGTAGTTCCTATTCATTCCATTGCCTTCCAGGACTACCCTTCCCATTTATGGTTTATTAAATAAAAAAGAGACAGAAATTGGTTTAAAAAAAAAAAAAAAAAAAAAAACTATGCATGTATGATGTAAACCTCACTACACTAAATACCCATAACGACAAATATTCGGTCACGTTTCACTACGAAATCGCGGTGCAAATTACCAACTGTAAAGGTCTTTAAAAGCTATAAAATTAATCTGATTACAATAGGTAAATCCCACAATGATACATGTAAAGACAGCAAATTAATGCAAGTTATCTGCCGTAATGGAATCCTTTGACTTCCATATTTTCAACATTTGAAGATCACGGGGAGAGGGGGGGGGTCACTTAAAGGATCACCGCGCTGCGAGTCCCCCCTCGCAGTTTTAGTGGCTCAGGTTAACTTGAAGCTTGTGCAATTAGCAGTTAGCCGGTGAGATGTTGCTTAGAAAAAGCTGCATTGTTTATGAACCAAATTGGACGTTTCGAATACGAGGTTAAAATTCGCCCCTGCAATTAAACAAAATAATTGGCCAAGACCATCTTCGTATGACGTTATTACGAGTTCTTATGCAAATTACTACCGTCCCCGTTTTGCCTGCCAATTAACCCACAGACGACTTGGCCAACTGGCTGGCCGCTCAATCTGCTAGCTAGCTGGGTACTTCTCTGCATCACCGACACGTCTCTTGTAAACAAGCAGCTCGCCTCGTATATTCCAATAAAATGTCCGTGTTAGCCAGGTGCGTTAATTTGGACGAGTACTTCTTGACCATCGGTTATATAAAATAAGACAAAAGACCCCCCCCCTCCTCCTCTCCAAACACCAACACATAAGAGACGTGTCACAATTACCTCGCTAGGTCGCCATAATCACTACAAAATTTACCACTTTTCTTTCGTGCAAAAAAGCCAAAAGATCCGCCCATTAGAGCGCACACTCACGCAGAGAGAAGACCACAAACAACAAAAAAGCCCACACTCGTAACGATAACTCATCTACATGCAACGCGTATCCTAAAAAAAAAAATACACGGTGGAGAAAAAAAAACTCCTTCCCAAACCTCGGCCTCGAGTAGTGCCCTAATCGCCGGGGCTTGTGCGACGCTGCCAGCCCGCCGCGCCGCGCCGCGCACCGCCGACCGTCAGCCGCTCGGACGGTGTAGATTGAGGCCTACGACCGCTTAGGCTCGGTGTAATTAATTAGGGCTCTTTTACAGATGTGTAAAAACACTACCCCCCCCTTCCCCACTCCTCAACCTTATCGCCAAAATTTCACCGCTTTCCTTCGCCCACTCGAACTCCTAAAATGCCAATACGCGGCTTGCTACTTTTCCATAGCTACGAATTTATTCGATTAATTGGCAAATTGGCCGATTAAATCCGCGCAGCGGGCATGCTAGCTAGCTAGCTACTTCTTGTAACAGTCGGTATGCACGACAGGATCGACGGCTAATGGGGTGGCGGTGCTCATACAGGAGAAAGACGGACACGGAAAAAGTTTGAGCTTTTTTTTTCCGAGGTGTGACCTCTCGCAAACTTACTGCCTAGCAAAATGCAAACATATTACTCAAATGCATCTGCACGCTCCATTCAGCCACCCCACACGCAAAGTATGAAATGCGCAGCAGCTAGCCCATTCGGTCGCACACTAGTCGCCGCGTAATTAGCGCGGCGCTACATTTATTTAGCCCGGTAAGCAGGTTAGCTAATTAGAGGCAATTCAATTAACGCGTTACCTGCATGGTCGCTGCTCCAGCGCACGCTTCCTCTCGCTCTTTAAAACCCACTGAAAAGTTTTCTCTCTCTCTCTCTCTCTCTCTCTCGCTCGTTCGCTTACTCTCCCTCCCCCTCTCTCTCTCTCTCTCTCTCTCTCTCAGTCACTCACTCTCTCTCTCTCTCTTTCCCCTCTTTTCCTCTACTGTAGTAAACATACAGCAGCTCACTGGCAGCCGTGATATGCGCATGCGCAATCATAACACCAAGGAGGACATTGAATTTAATGGTGTGTCTGTATCTGGGGGTCGTTCCGTGGCAACTTTTGTGCCTTCTGCTTGTTCCAATCGACTTCCTCTTTCTTCTAACGAAGCTTTGTTCACCTTTTGTTTGTTATGTATTTCGCGTGTCATTGTTTAATCATTTTGTGATCTGTTTAAAATCCCTTCAACCAAAGTTATGTAGTACACGCGTCACACTTATACCTATCCGTCAGCATAAAGGGAACATGAAACATTTATTATGTTTTATGTTGTACCTTGTATGAATGCTATGTATTTACACATATGTGGACATGAATTCTTGACACTACAAATAGTCGAAGGCAAATAACAATTATGCTAAATACGAAAATCATTTTCTTTATTTTTGAGGGCAATTTTATCCAGAGCAATTGGGGTTAAACGTATTGCTCAAGTGCCCAGCGGTGACATCACTGCGCTGATAACAAGATTTGAACCAGCGACCTTCCAATCACTGACACAGAATCCTAATCCACATAAACAGGGACGTCATTAGGGGGCTGTACCCACCCCCAAATAAATGAGTATTTCTTGGCTTGGTCATGAATAGCTTTTTATATTACATACAAGTTTGCCGCCCAATAAAAACTAGAATAAAGAAGCCCCTCTATACATTCATCTATAACTACGCCCCTGCACATAGCCACAATTTACCCCCAAATCCTCCTATTTAACTGAATTCCACCAACAAAGACAAAATAATTATGTAATAGGTACTAGCTAATTTAGGAATTCTTTTGACATATCAAGAACAGTAGGTTGCATGGTGTTTAAGAGTACAGCCTTTTAACTTGACAGGCTCAGGAGGATTCTTGTGACTGTATACCACTGATATACAGTGATATACACTGATTTCCTCCGGGATCAATAAAGTTTTCTGATTCTGATTCTGATAAAGGTACTTATGTTTAATCACCCTGGTAAAATAGGAAGCTGTATAAATATCTCCAATTATAAAACTTTAAATAAAAACGTTGGCCAAACAAGGTGGTGATATTGCATTTGTTTCAAATAATTGCAACAATAATATCCTGCCCAGTTTGAGAATATGGTTATGTTTATGTATGAGAATGAACTGATCTTTCTTTAAACAAAACAGTAACATATAACTTAATCATACAGTAACACTCTCACTGTTAATGCAATCCTGGCTAGCCAGTAACAGCTAACCATTTATGCTATGTGTGACTGACCAATGATATGGCAATGGATATTCATAATGCATTATTTCTCATTTTATGTGTATATTAAATAATCTATTCTGGTGTCTTTATTCACAATAATACAAAATGTTCATATCTGTACATAATATACTGTTTCTTGTTCCTTTGTTTCTTATTTGATGACCACCGGAAATTTCATAAGATATATTTACTGATGCCAAAGGGAAATTCATTATTCATTTGTGAAGTTCACCTATTTAATCTCTTTTCCACAATATACGAGTATGAAATAATATACTAATATAAAATGCTAATGGTAAAAACAGCAATAAGAGCTGCAGTTAACATTTCTGTGGATTATTTAATGAATTGACAAGTAGTTCTTTTTAAAATGCAAGTCATTTTTACCATGTTGGCAGAAAAAAAATCACACTTGTGTTGGCATATTAATTTACATAGCATTTGCTTATTTACTGAGAAGAAAGAACTGAAGAATACACAGTGAATTCTGATTTGTTAAGACTTGTGGGATTCAATTTAAATACCCAGAAATTTTAAATACAGTCAATCAGCATTTATTTAGGAACAAGATTAGGTTTTGACCTTAGAATAATAATAATAATAATAATAATAATAATAATAATAATATGGATACGTAGATCAGCAATTTATACATTTTAGATGACCATGTTTTAAAAGTCTAAACTAAAAATTGTGCATGTTTATACTGCTAAATCGTCCTCATTATTTATTAGCAGTGGTATGTTTACAGGTGAGGAACTAATATTTGAATTATATGTTTAAATTAATTACTAATATTTTGAATTTTGTATATATGTACCAAAGCCTAAAAATATGCATGATGGGCAAGTCCAAAACACCTTGTGGTGCAGAAAAGTGAACATTTTAAAAGTGAAAATGTGCCAAATACATGCAACTGTTCACTTTCTTATACCTTTACAATATAACGCAAAATTGAAAATTGTGCATTTCATCATTTACTCACGATCTTGGCAGAAATAAAAGCTATTGATGTAATAGCTGCCACTCCAGGCACCGTAAAAACTTGAAGTGGCCAGTTCTCTTTGGGTGGGTTTACCTGTTATTGGTCTGGTCATTCTGATGGCTGCTATACTCAAGCAGTAGCTGCTGCTGTGGCGGATCGGGTCCTCCCGATGGTGTCTGATGTCACTGCTTTTAACGAGCATATTATGAGACTCAGGCTAAGGCACTGCTTGTGTGTCCTGTCTGTTGTCTTAGTGTATGCTCTGACCTTGATGAGTGATGTCTCGATGAGGGAGATATTTTATTTGCAACTTTGCTTGATTGTTGATGGGTGCCCACGAGGTGGCATTCCTCTGGTCGTGGGTGAATTCAATGTGATCACTGCAACTGAGAGTGGTTGCTATGAGGGTTGTGTTGGCTCCCACTGGTCTGGTGACCGTGGTAAAAGTGGCTCATTTTCCATGATCTTGCAAAAGGTTAGGGGCTGCAGGTCGCTGGATCCTGGTTCCAGCCCCCTGAGCCACATCGTTGGATTTAGTACTTTAGTACTCGTGCTGCAGTGAAGGAGACTGATCACACCCTTATGGGCAGATGCTGGAGGGTCCTACAGAACTGCAGAGTCTACAGGAGTACTCAGTTGTGAATTCTGACCACAGACTTGTTGTTGATACTCTGAAGATTCAGCTTAGGTCCTGTAGGCTATCATCTACCAGGAGAATGAGGCTGAACCTGGCCAGACTGCAAGATTAAGCTGTTTCTAATGATTTGCACACAGTTTGTGTGAGGAACTTGCAGACTTGGGTGTGACTGCTGACTCTAATGTGATGTGGGAGACCTTCCGTGATAAGACCCTGAAGGTTGCCGAGGGTTGTGTTGGTGTTGCCAGTGTTCCCAGAAGGAGGTGTTTCATCTCACAGGGCACCATGGATATTATCGAGAGGAGTCACAGCGAATGGCCTGTACTGGGAACTGAGAAGGATGGCTGTGAGGGCTCTGAGGGCAAGTAAGGAGGCGTTTGTTAGAGGAATCTGTGAGCAAGTGACACCTTCCATGGTTCAGCGACCCATGTCCTGCTCACAGAGGAATTGAAGCATTTCTCACATCCGAATCCGTTCCTCAAAGAGTCACAGTCAGGCTGGGTGATAGACCGGTCCTTATGGATGATACTGCAGGTGTGACCCACTGGATGGGCTCCTTTGAGCTGATCCTTCAGCTGGGACATTGGACATCTCTGGGTTGGACAGTTCTTGAGGCTGATCCTCCCGTTAGCTGTGAACCACCCAATCTCACCGAGATTGCACAGATGGTGAATCAGCTGGAGGTAGGGAAGGCTGCAGTGATCTGTGATATCGTTGGTGAACTTCTCCAAGCTAGCAGTAAGGCTGTCCTCCTGGCAATCTTTGTTTCCATTTGGGAGATGGGCATCATCCCAACTGACTGGAAAACAGGACTTGTAGTCCCTGTCTGGAAAGGGAAGGGTGATCGCCTGGATTTTGGCAACTGCAGAGGGATAACACTGCTCTCCGGGCCAGGTAAGGTCCTTGCTAGGGTCATCCCTAACAGGATCCGTGATCACTTGCTTGCCTGCCAGTGACCAGAGCAGACTGATTTTATGCCTAAGAAGTGTATCATCGACTGCATCCCAGCACTGGGATTCTCCTCGAGCGCAAGCAGAAATATCGGCAGAGTATCCTTGCAGCCTTTGTCGATTTTCATAAAGCGTTTGACTCAGTTAATCGAGTTGCCCTGTGGCACAGCCTGAGACTTTGTGGGATCCCCTTGAAGTTGCTGGAAGTCATGGCCGACCTGTACACTGGTGAGTGCTGTGCAAAGTGGAGACAGAACCTCTGTGTTCTTCCCGGTTGATTCTGAGGTTCGTCAGGGGTGTGTTCTTGCTTCTACTCTGTTCAATGATTGCAAGGACTGGGTGTTGGGCAAGGTCATGGAGCCTAGCGGCTTTGAGGCATCTGTTGATAAAGAAAGATTCACTGATCTTGACTTTGCCAATAATGCTGTGATCTTCACAGAGTCAACGAAGGTTCTGATTGGGGCTCTTGAGAGACTGAGCAAGGAGTCTTGAGTGTCTGGGCTTGCGAGTGTCCTGGATAAAATCCAAGATCCATGACTTTAATGACCTCTTGGGCACAGCCATCAACAGTCTGTCTGTCTGCAGAAAGAATGTCAACCGCGTCAAGAGCTTCACTCCCTCAGCAGCGACATTCATGTCTCTGGTGACTCTTCCTATAAAGTCAGTATATAGACTGGAAGTGAAGAGGGAGTCACAAGGTCGCTGGAATGGGGTGTGTGGTGCTCCCAGTATCTTTATAAGAGGATGAAGGTCCAAGTCTTTAGAGTCCAGGTGCTCCCTGTCTTGCTGTGAGACATGGACGCTATCCAGTGTGCTGAGAAGAAGACTGGACTCCTTAGATACTGTGTCTCTTCGGAGAATCCTTGGGTACCGGTGCTTTGACTTTGTGAGCGATTGCTCATGGAGTCCCGTATGAGGCATGTTGTCTGCATCGTGAGGGAGCGTCAGTTACAGTATTATAGCCACATGGTGCAATTCCCTGAGGGTAATCCGGCTCGCAGGATCCTCATTGCTGAGGTCCCGAGCGGCTAGACCAGGCTGAAAGGACACCCACGTAACTCCTGGCTGTGGCAGATAGACAGCCATTTTTGGAGGGTGGGACTGGATCATATGTTGGTCTGCGGGGTCA